AAAAAAAAAAAAAAAAAAAAAAAAAAAAAAAAAAAAAAAAAAAAGATGCGCTACAGCCAACCGGGGGGGAACTGGCCCGGTCGACCGGCCGGTAGGACCGGTCCGGTTCTGGTTGGGGGAGGACCCCCCGATCCTACCGGGTTTTCAGCACTGGATGAAACTGCATTCAACATCCATAAGAGACCTGCCAGTTGTTTTTTTTTTAATAATAATCCAGATCGATCTGGACATGATCCGGACCGATCTGGATGGGTCCGGAAATCTGGATGTCCGGACCGTATCCGGACCGTTTGGTTGTCTGGGTCCGGATCGGTCCGGTGTCCGGGTACGCGGTAGCCATGATTCCACCACACGGGCCGGGTGACTGTCCTCAACATGATCCTTTTTCCTTGCTCTTTTTATCTCCCATCCTTCCACCCCCCCCCCCCTCCTTATGTGCTCTTCCCTTTCTCATTGAACAGACTGGCCCCAGTCAATTCAGAGTTATTTTATTCTTCCAGCAGGATTCTCAGGTCTGTTTATCAAGACTTACATGGGTGTATTACTCAACCACATGGGCTGGGTGACTTCCCTCAACATGATCCTTCTTCCTTTCTTGTTTTCCCTCCCTTGATTGCTGAGGTATCTTCATAAGTTCATAATATGATTCAAAGAACTGGCCTCGCATTAGTGCATTCATGTTAGGTACTTCGAGTGTGGCTACCTGGCTATTCCTAATATTTTGGAAGTTTCCGTTTTGCAGGCTGGGCGATTGAACCATGGAGCAAATGCTGTCCATGAAATGAAATTGATTGGCAAGTCCATTGCAACAGGTCCTGGCACAGCTGCAGCACCAGAATCTAATATAAGAAAGCCGCAGAATTCTGCAGTTGTCGATCTGATTGATGGAAGGGTGCGTATCCATTCTCCTCTCTTTTCATCGACACAAGGTAACCCATCTCTATTGCCTGTTCTGGTGCTGTAGTCATATTCTCTCTGACCAGCTTGGTGCCCTCAGATGGCCACTGTGCCCCCTAAAATAATTGCAATGACGTCAGTGCCTACTCAATGCCATGGTGCCACTGACTTCTGTACTCTTCCTACTGGTTCACAACCCCTCCTGTTCATAAACCACCTTAGCACCTTTCTGCTCCTACATCACCTTACAGCTTCCCAGTTTGCTTTACCCTCAACATCCGACCACCTATGTGAAATGGTCAAGAATGACGAACAGCACAATGAAGAAAACGGCACAGGAACAGAATTGGAGAAAGTTGAGATGAGGATAATGCCTCTTTAGGTATGAAGTTTCACTTATGCACTGAGATGCAGCTCTTCTTGTTGTGCTTTTGTGCCTCGAGTGAAACGGGTGTCCGACTTGGTGTAGCCACGAAAGTAGGACATACAGCTCTTCTTGTGCATCTCTCATGTTTTGTGCATGTGTGTGCTTCCCGTGTCGGACGATGCTGTTGACTGCGTCTGCAGTAAACGAATTTTGCTTCTCGCTTTCAGAGTCATTTGGCCTCTTTTTTATGCTGGTGCTTTGTCCATCTCTGGGTGCAGGTTGAAGAAGCAAAGCTGCTGTGGACTCAGGGGCAACATAACATGGCCGTGAGTTTGGCAAAGTTTCTCCTACACAGTGCTGAGAAGAGCCCGAAGAATGCAGCCCTCCTTTCCCTTACTGGAAAATGGTTGGCTGAAACACACTCAGCAAGGTGCATCCTTCTTTGATGGACTTTTTTTTTTTTTTTTTTGACAAAAAAACGACGGTAGTCCAGGTCCTCCACTACCCCACACGTTGCACCTTCATGCCCAGCGCAACCACTCACAGCATCAATTACTTCCCTCAGAGATGGATTGGTCAGTCAATTAGTGTTCCCATCAGGAGACCAGGCCGGGCACCGGTGCTGCTTCTGGCTCTGGGCCAGGTCCTGGGTAGCCCCAGCACAAAATTCGAAAACTAAGACCTTTGCCGAGAGTCACTGTGATATCTATATATTTCTATATACCTTCTAAAGGCTAACCCGGTCCTCAGCTGATGCCCCCTACCGGCCCATCAAAAATCGGCATGCAAGAGGTCCTGGGGGGGGCACTGTGCCTGGGGAACCGCTGAGCGATTGGCAGATTTTTCTGGCTTGGTTCGGTGTATTCACGTGGTGATTCAGTTCCTTTCGCGCCTCTGGTGTTCCCTGCAGAGATTCTGTGGCGTCGGGATTGTCATTGGAGGCATGTTCGAATACGATTGCATAGCGGTGAGATTGCAGCTCGGGGCGTACATGCATCACTCTGTTAAATGCATGTGACTCGAATCACAGCCAGACCCATTTGAACGATTGAACACTTCGGATGTGTCGAGACCGTTACCCCAACAGGATTAGTTCTATGCCCTCTTTCCCTTCTTTTCAGTTTTTCAAACTTTTTCTATTTTTCTTTCATTTTTGTCGTCTTCTGGGTACTTTGCTGACACATCTCGGCTTTGGCTATGTGTCGTTTCGCAGCCTCACAAAGGTCAACAGTCCCCTTCGTATGTGCCCCGCCATATTTTTTATCTTTTGTGCATGTGGTGAGTAGTGGAGGTAGGTCCAGTACATAGCAGGGCCCAAGTATGGGCCTCCATATTTTTTATCTTTTGTGCATGTGGTGAGTAGTGGAAGGAGGTCCAGTACATAACAGGGCCCAAGTATGGGCCTCGCTCCACTAATCAAACGTGCAAAATGAGAATGAATCTTCAGGCAGAACATGGAAAGATACACCGCCATAATTTTTTGCCTTTTGTGCATGTGGTGAGTAGTGGAACGAGCACCAGTAC